TTTTCAACTAAGATCACAAATACCTCTTACTTTTGCAACCCTTTTGTCCAAATTGGATTTATATATTTGTTACAGCATTTGATAAATGTCTCGGTGTTTATTTTTTGTCCATTAAATAAAAAAAAAAAACTATGGTAACCACAACTGTTTGGTTACCAAAACATTGTTCAAAATATTTTCTGTGTTCCCAGAAGAAATAAAATCACACAGGTTTGGAACGACATGAGGGAAAGTAAAGGTTAACATCATTTTGTTGTTGTTGTTGTATTTTAAGCATGTCAAAGCTAGGAGGTGGTTAATAATCATTGGATTTTTCTGTGTTTTTTTTTTAAAATTAATTTAGATATATTTGTTACAGCATTTGATAAATGTCTCGGTGTTTATTTTTTGTCCATTAAATAAAAAAAAAAAACTATGGTAACCACAACTGTTTGGTTACCAAAACATTGTTCAAAATATTTTCTGTGTTCCCAGAAGAAATAAAATCACACAGGTTTGGAACGACATGAGGGAAAGTAAAGGTTAACATCATTTTGTTGTTGTTGTAGTATTTTAAGCATGTCAAAGCTAGGAGGTGGTTAATAATCATTGGATTTTTCTGTGTTTTTTTTTTTTAATTAATTTAGAAAAATGTCTGAACATCGTTTACATTCTGAATGGCAGAAAATTGAGCACACACTGCTGTGACTGACAAAATAAATGTGAACATATCACAACTGCACTAGATTCAATACGCTGAAAGTAGGTCATGGAGCAGGAAGGTGTTGACATATTTGTGTTCAGCATCACTGCAGGAACACCACAGTCCCCATAGCTAATACACAGAGACCTTGATTATCAAAATACATGCACTAACCAGAACTGTCAGTGCAGGCTGTACGTGACGATGGCCTTTTGCGGTTTCCACCATCACAGGGCTCATCAGCACAGTTACAGACCAAAAACTGCTGGTCGCCATCCTCGCTGTCAACTTCCTCAGTCAGTAAGCTCAGGCTGTTTATGAGATGTATAACACTCGATCTTTCTTCTATCTGATTCAACTTGACTGCCTCTGTTTCTCCTCGGATGCCCTGATATTCCTCAGAAGCAGCAGTGGGGCTGTAAGTCTCGTCCACGATCCAACCCTGGGCGGCCCAGTAGTGAAACTGTTCCCAGTAGTGCTGGTATGTTTGTTGGTAGTGCTCGTCCCAGTCTGCCTCTGAGCGGGAACATTCCTGTGCTGTACTGCTGGAGATTTCAGGTTGTTTCTCCAGCCAGCTCTGCCACAGCAGACCCTCCCCATGCTGCTGCCAGTAGCTCAGCCAGGCCTCCTCTGATGTGGGACACATCTGTTCAGCGGGGGTCTCAGCGATGTCACTCACAACACACTGCTGTTTCTGTTCAGAGTCATTGTGTGTGTCGGCATAATCTATGGGGGCTTCCAAATGCTTGATGGTTCTTTCGTTCTTTGGTCTCACTAAAACTTGGCCCTTAAAGATGAGAAACAATCATTAGTTTGGGCTACAGCCAAGCAATTTCCTAAAGTAAATGGGGTAAAACTTCACAGTAACAGTCTTTAATGAAAATTTACGAAAAAGATTGCAAGTGAGCGGCTTCACTGCACAGGATAATACATAATCACAAGGCCCTTTCCCATCTGGGTATTAACATGCCATTTACATGCATATATTAAAAGCCAAGTGTAAATGTACCTGAGGCACATTGTGATAAGATCACTGAACCACATTTGACAAAGGTGTAAATGCTAATGCACTTTTTCATTATTTGCAAACGCAACCCAGTTAAAGAATATTCAGACACTATTTGAATACAAAATTTATGTTAATGCCAGGTGTAAAGGGGCCCATGCAAAAGTAAAAGGCAACAAACATTAACGAATCAAGAATCAAGGACATTAAAACTTTAAAAGAATATAATTTATGTAATTACAGTTATTATTTTTTATTGTTGAATAATAATAATTATATATATATATATACAATACCGGTCAAAAGCTTGGAATGATTAAGATTTTTAATGCTTTTTTTCAAGAAGACTCGTATGCTCACCAAGGCTGTATTTTTTTTGGATCAAAAATTTTAATGACTTAATTTAACAACTATTTTAATTTATTTTAAAATATAATGCATTCCTGTGATGCAAAGCTAGCCAAACATTCAATGATTTCTGATTTGGTGCTCAATAAACATTTATTTTTATTATCAATGTTAAAAACCATTTTTGCTGCATAATATTTATGTGGAAACTGTAATATATATTACCATTCAAAAGTATGGGATAAGAAATGAATACTTTCATTCAACAAGGACACATTAAATTGATCGAAAGTAAAGACAATTTTAATGTTACAAAAAAGCATTTATAAATGTTTATATTTCAAATAAATGCTGTTCTTTTGAACCTTCTATTTTACAAAGAACAGAAAAACGGATGTCTCAGTTGTACTTTTATGGTTTAGATGTGTGCTCAAGAGCACCCCTTATACAGCTGACATGCACACTCAAAGTAGACACTAGTGTGGATGTTAGTCACGTCACAACAGTCTACTACCCAGTAGTCCATGCACCATTACCACTCCAAAATGTGGAGGACTCAAAGGACTAGGGACAAGGGCCTAAGACTTTTTGCATGAGCATTAATATTAGCAGTGTTGACATAAATGGACAGAAGTGGTTTTCCAATATAACATCAAGATCATAATGCATCTAACAGACATACAGCTTTCCTCTGTTTTGATGAGCTGGAAAACTCCACAGGAAGCCCCAAACTGGCCATAAGCATGGTCTCTTCATCAACAACAGCCTCTTCTTCCTCCTCCTCCTCCTCCTCCTCATCATCATCCACAGAACAGCTAAGGTCCTCCAAAAGCTCTTCCCCATCATTAGCTTCAAAACCTACTGAAAAAAAAAAAAAAATCAAAGTGTAATGTGTAGCTATTTGAGCATTATAAACTATATCCTGACCATAACCTGTTGCAGGTATTTTCAAGTGAAAATTTCAAGTGAAAATCAAGAAAAAACATCAAGGCTAAATGAGGTTCTCAACCTTTTTGACTCCAAGTACCCCCATTGTCCACAACAATATTCAAAGGCCTCATGAATTTTCCTGGTGTGTGTGATTTATTGGATAAGGATTAAGGATTTTTACAAACATTAAAAAAAAAAATCAATTTCTACCCAATAAAATATTTTAAAACTTGGCAGCTATTAAAATGTAGGTGGGGGCATATGAAGAAAATGTCTTACAGGTTACTGGTCAACATGGATGTTTATAGCAGTAGGTTGGGATTAACATTTATTGAGCATATGAGGTAGCAACCTGGTGGTGAGACACAACATAAGAATAATTCTTATTTTGTGATCCACTTTTTGCTCTTTTTTTGTCTTTTACCTCATTTTAATCTTGATCTGATCTAGCAAGCTATGCATACTTGTGTCTGAAGCATGTTATATGGGTGGGTTAGATGAGGAGGTTTGATATAATACCTACAATCTCTAAAATGGAGTGTATAGTTTTGTCTCTTTAAGAGAAATAAAAAAGTATGAATCATAACTAGAAACATGTATATTCATTATAAAAATCCCCATGGAGTTTTAATAAAAACTTACATAACTAATTACATAATTTACATGGTTTTCCAGGTTACGCTTTTAAAATTACCTTAAATTTACCCTGTTTCCAGTTGTTGAGGGAGTGAATTATATTATTTATAAAATATCTTGATTTTTAAATAGTTTTAGTTTATGCCAATGCTTGTTTTGTCTTATTTCAAATAATTTAAATTCCCAATGCCCCCTTGGAAGTTTACTGAGGCCCACTGGGCTAAATACATTGTCAGGAAGTCAGTATGTAAACAGTAATTTTGTTCATATGTAATCAGATGTTAACAAGAAACCGTACCTTGCAATTGACTGTCAGTCTGATTCAGGATGGCTTTAGAATCTGACCGATACAATTCTCGATCACTGCAGATGAAAACAAGAGAAAATGTGTTCACCATTCACAACAGTAAACAGGCAACCTCCCATGTCAACCTAGTAGTCAGTGTTACACAGTGAGGGTTTACAAAGTTTAGCTCACTATCTATATTTACGACTTTAGATCTATGTGATCACAAGTAATATGGAGCAGATCTTTTTTTCTTCTTCTGTTGTTGTCCTGCTCTGCAGTCCTGCTGAAAATCAATCCAACCTTAGATGGTTTGCTGGTCTCAACTGCTCTTCCAGTCTAATCTGTTCTGTTGGCTCATTTTGGGCACTTCTCTGCTGCTGAGGCCAGTTGAGACATGCAAACCAGTCAGTTCTAGGGAGGTACAAACAATACAGCAACGGTGATTTAAAATGTAACTTTCTGAACGCAGTTAACTTGATAAAATAGCATGCCTATTCTAGCAGTTGATCATATCACACTTAATCTTCAATACATACTTGACGTAAGCTCTGGAGCACAAGCAGTGTATTGTCATCTCTCTCTCTTCGCCCTGATAGAAGATTATATCAGCTAGAGGAACAACATTTCGCTCGCCGTAATCAATCATGATGACAGACGCATGAATGACACCTGTCAACAGGATCTACCCAAGACCTTTCTACAAACCTGTCTTATCTTTACTCTTTTAACCAGGCATTAGAAATAAAAACTACCGCGAAATATATAGCGACATATAAATATACTCATGAATTAAAACGAGGATTATTAAAAGTACTACTAATTTATTAATCTAATTTATACACACATTTAAGTCTCGCTATGCGAGTTTCCCCCCTCGTGCTTTGGAAACTGCCCGTCAAGTTAAAAGACTGTCAGTAAATTTACAGTACAGACATGGCATTTATGAGGGTTTAAGACTTTTATTATGAAGTTTTCGCCCAGTCACGGACATTGACATGCGCTGTTTCCTGTTTGTGTCACATGTAAAGAGAACCGGTTCAGTCAGGAAGGTAAACACTTATTGAGGGCAACAGTGTCTATTTCATCGAGGTATCATAATGTAAGTAGATTTGAGAAAATCTTATTTTTATACGCTTCTTCTAAAACATCCATCTATATGCTTAGTTTTTCGAGTGATAAGGTGTGTAATTTTGAAGAAGTGTGTGACAGCTCATCAAAATCTGGAGCTGTTGTAAGGTTTGTTTGTCTATGATCGCTATCCACTGGGACAGAACGGTTTAATGCTACTGTACGCCTTTCCATGTCGTCGTTCATGCGTTTAACAGTGTTCATGTAAATGATGTTGTACAGCAGTCTCACCTGTGACTGGGAATTAATTAACAGAATGAGCAGGTACAACTTAACTGTCATCGACGTCGTTTGATTTTAGGGCACCGTTGTGAGGTTGGTATGTTTGGCCTAGCAACACATTTTCGTTGGAGAAGGTTTGTGGTTTTTTTCCCCTTTTTTTTTTTGTAAAGGGGCCCATGCAAAAGTAAAAGGCAACAAACATTAACGAATCAAGAATCAAGGACATTAAAACTTTAAAAGAATATAATTTATGTAATTACAGTTATTATTTTTTATTGTTGAATAATAATAATTATATATATATATATACAATACCGGTCAAAAGCTTGGAATGATTAAGATTTTTAATGCTTTTTTTCAAGAAGACTCGTATGCTCACCAAGGCTGTATTTTTTTTGGATCAAAAATTTTAATGACTTAATTTAACAACTATTTTAATTTATTTTAAAATATAATGCATTCCTGTGATGCAAAGCTAGCCAAACATTCAATGATTTCTGATTTGGTGCTCAATAAACATTTATTTTTATTATCAATGTTAAAAACCATTTTTGCTGCATAATATTTATGTGGAAACTGTAATATATATTACCATTCAAAAGTATGGGATAAGAAATGAATACTTTCATTCAACAAGGACACATTAAATTGATCGAAAGTAAAGACAATTTTAATGTTACAAAAAAGCATTTATAAATGTTTATATTTCAAATAAATGCTGTTCTTTTGAACCTTCTATTTTACAAAGAACAGAAAAACGGATGTCTCAGTTGTACTTTTATGGTTTAGATGTGTGCTCAAGAGCACCCCTTATACAGCTGACATGCACACTCAAAGTAGACACTAGTGTGGATGTTAGTCACGTCACAACAGTCTACTACCCAGTAGTCCATGCACCATTACCACTCCAAAATGTGGAGGACTCAAAGGACTAGGGACAAGGGCCTAAGACTTTTTGCATGAGCATTAATATTAGCAGTGTTGACATAAATGGACAGAAGTGGTTTTCCAATATAACATCAAGATCATAATGCATCTAACAGACATACAGCTTTCCTCTGTTTTGATGAGCTGGAAAACTCCACAGGAAGCCCCAAACTGGCCATAAGCATGGTCTCTTCATCAACAACAGCCTCTTCTTCCTCCTCCTCCTCCTCCTCCTCATCATCATCCACAGAACAGCTAAGGTCCTCCAAAAGCTCTTCCCCATCATTAGCTTCAAAACCTACTGAAAAAAAAAAAAAAATCAAAGTGTAATGTGTAGCTATTTGAGCATTATAAACTATATCCTGACCATAACCTGTTGCAGGTATTTTCAAGTGAAAATTTCAAGTGAAAATCAAGAAAAAACATCAAGGCTAAATGAGGTTCTCAACCTTTTTGACTCCAAGTACCCCCATTGTCCACAACAATATTCAAAGGCCTCATGAATTTTCCTGGTGTGTGTGATTTATTGGATAAGGATTAAGGATTTTTACAAACATAAAAAAAAAAAATCAATTTCTACCCAATAAAATATTTTAAAACTTGGCAGCTATTAAAATGTAGGTGGGGGCATATGAAGAAAATGTCTTACAGGTTACTGGTCAACATGGATGTTTATAGCAGTAGGTTGGGATTAACATTTATTGAGCATATGAGGTAGCAACCTGGTGGTGAGACACAACATAAGAATAATTCTTATTTTGTGATCCACTTTTTGCTCTTTTTTTGTCTTTTACCTCATTTTAATCTTGATCTGATCTAGCAAGCTATGCATACTTGTGTCTGAAGCATGTTATATGGGTGGGTTAGATGAGGAGGTTTGATATAATACCTACAATCTCTAAAATGGAGTGTATAGTTTTGTCTCTTTAAGAGAAATAAAAAAGTATGAATCATAACTAGAAACATGTATATTCATTATAAAAATCCCCATGGAGTTTTAATAAAAACTTACATAACTAATTACATAATTTACATGGTTTTCCAGGTTACGCTTTTAAAATTACCTTAAATTTACCCTGTTTCCAGTTGTTGAGGGAGTGAATTATATTATTTATAAAATATCTTGATTTTTAAATAGTTTTAGTTTATGCCAATGCTTGTTTTGTCTTATTTCAAATAATTTAAATTCCCAATGCCCCCTTGGAAGTTTACTGAGGCCCACTGGGCTAAATACATTGTCAGGAAGTCAGTATGTAAACAGTAATTTTGTTCATATGTAATCAGATGTTAACAAGAAACCGTACCTTGCAATTGACTGTCAGTCTGATTCAGGATGGCTTTAGAATCTGACCGATACAATTCTCGATCACTGCAGATGAAAACAAGAGAAAATGTGTTCACCATTCACAACAGTAAACAGGCAACCTCCCATGTCAACCTAGTAGTCAGTGTTACACAGTGGGGGTTTACAAAGTTTAGCTCACTATCTATATTTACGACTTTAGATCTATGTGATCACAAGTAATATGGAGCAGATCTTTTTTTCTTCTTCTGTTGTTGTCCTGCTGAAAATCAATCCAACCTTAGATGGTTTGCTGGTCTCAACTGCTCTTCCAGTCTAATCTGTTCTGTTGGCTCATTTTGGGCACTTCTCTGCTGCTGAGGCCAGTTGAGACATGCAAACCAGTCAGTTCTAGGGAGGTACAAACAATACAGCAACGGTGATTTAAAATGTAACTTTCTGAACGCAGTTAACTTGATAAAATAGCATGCCTATTCTAGCAGTTGATCATATCACACTTAATCTTCAATACATACTTGACGTAAGCTCTGGAGCACAAGCAGTGTATTGTCATCTCTCTCTCTTCGCCCTGATAGAAGATTATATCAGCTAGAGGAACAACATTTCGCTCGCCGTAATCAATCATGATGACAGACGCATGAATGACACCTGTCAACAGGATCTACCCAAGACCTTTCTACAAACCTGTCTTATCTTTACTCTTTTAACCAGGCATTAGAAATAAAAACTACCGCGAAATATATAGCGACATATAAATATACTGATGAATTAAAACGAGGATTATTAAAAGTACTACTAATTTATTAATCTAATTTATACACACATTTAAGTCTCGCTATGCGAGTTTCCCCCCTCGTGCTTTGGAAACTGCCCGTCAAGTTAAAAGACTGTCAGTAAATTTACAGTACAGACATGGCATTTATGAGGGTTTAAGACTTTTATTATGAAGTTTTCGCCCAGTCACGGACATTGACATGCGCTGTTTCCTGTTTGTGTCACATGTAAAGAGAGCCGGTTCAGTCAGGAAGGTAAACACTTATTGAGGGCAACAGTGTCTATTTCATCGAGGTATCATAATGTAAGTAGATTTGAGAAAATCTTATTTTTATACGCTTCTTCTAAAACATCCATCTATATGCTTAGTTTTTCGAGTGATAAGGTGTGTAATTTTGAAGAAGTGTGTGACAGCTCATCAAAATCTGGAGCTGTTGTAAGGTTTGTTTGTCTATGATCGCTATCCACTGGGACAGAACGGTTTAATGCTACTGTACGCCTTTCCATGTCGTCGTTCATGCGTTTAACAGTGTTCATGTAAATGATGTTGTACAGCAGTCTCACCTGTGACTGGGAATTAATTAACAGAATGAGCAGGTACAACTTAACTGTCATCGACGTCGTTTGATTTTAGGGCACCGTTGTGAGGTTGGTATGTTTGGCCTAGCAACACATTTTCGTTGGAGAAGGTTTGTGGTTTTTTTCCCCTTTTTTTTTTAAATATATATATTTTTTAACAATTCATCAAATGACTAGAATTAGATTTGCGAGTTAAAGCTGAAGTGTGTCATTTCTAGACGCAACTGGTGTCATTGAATTTCACTGCAAATGTGATGATTGTTGTCAAACAGTCACCCGTCTGCTATTGGTTGGACAAACAGATAACCCCGCCCCAGACTCACGCTATTGGCCGAGTCCTGTGACTTGTGAAATGAGATACAAATTTATTATAAATTATAATACTACTATACATTTTTTAATTTATAAATACTAATATAAATTTACGCTCGTTTACATTTAAAAGCTTATAGGTTGAAGGAACAAAGTATAATTTACCTTACATTATCAACAAGCAACCATTGCTGTAATATTTATATTGTGATTTTATATCAGAGTAGCTTTATATTTTACAAAGCAGTTACTTTTGCTGGAAATTCAAACCCAAAATGACTTACATAATACATAACCATGTGGTAAAGTCTATTTTTTTCTGTAATAGTGTAGCGTTAATACTTTACAAATATTATAATTGATTGATTGAGTTGATTATTTTCCTTTTTTCAAGCTTGATGGCTGGAAACTAAAGCACAAGCTTATTCATAAGCAATTTTTAAGTCTTGCAGATGTATAAAAAGTGATTAGTCCGTTCATTTCAATAAGTTTGACCCATTCATGTAGGTCCGTGTTGCTTTAGAACATACAAAAATCATTGTATTTTTTTCATTCATTCATTCATTTATTTATTTTAGAAGACAAATCGTTTGAGCCAAAGTTCCTGTGGCTGTTTGGGATGCTGAAACAAGCAGCAATGTTTTGATAGTGCCACAAAATCATAGTGTTTTTGTTTTCTTCAATGTTTGACTCGGCATATTAAACCTGGATAGGAAAAGTGTTCTAATGTCATAAAAAGGACACACTTCAGCTTTAATGCCATCTTAATGTCTGCGTTTGACAGTTTGTGTCTTTCATACCCAGGTCTCCCCTTTGGCAGATTGTTGCCTTGCTCAGCCCATCTGCCACTGGGAGAGGCTCACAGTGAAGCAGCATGTCCAGTGGGAATGAGTCCTGTCTGTTTGAGAACGGATCCGTCAGCTTCCTCTCCTGCTTGGTTCATGTGTGGGAGGCAGGGCTCGGGCAGCTCGAAGACTACCTCAGTTTCTTGGAGTATCTGCTCTGGGTTTTCACACCTCTAGCCATAGTCTTCATCCTGCCTTTTCTCATAGTCATCCTCCTCTATCTGTCCATACTCTTCCTCCATGTGTACAAACGTAAGAACCAGTTGAGGGAAGCTTATTCCAATAACCTGTGGGATGGTGCGAGAAAAACTCTGGCAACCCTGTGGGATGGACATGGAGCTATTTGGCACGGTATGTAATGGATTTGCTTTTTCTTTTTATCTGCATTAATTGAGATCTGGATTGTTATCTTATTTAAATTAAACTACTTTGGTCTGGGATTTTTCATGGTGCTCACATACTTGCATCCACTGTGTTGTTAATTTGATTTTTAAGTGATAGACCGGAATAGTCAAATCATAATTAAAAAGTGATGTCTAAAGATGGATGTGTATTATCAGGCTATGGATGGTTTTTTCCCAGCCCTAAACCATCTTATCCTTTGACAGAACAATCAATGATGGTTTGATGTTCCTGGCATTAAATTGTGATTTTTAGGATGCATAACCTGTTTTTTATCAAGCAGAGCATCTAAATAACTGTTTTGTCTGATTCATTGCACCAATTTAATCTGATTAATTTCACAAAGTGCATGATATTTCTAAAGGTTACAAATCAACACATAAAATACTGTTCAAAAGAAAAAGTCTTTATATTATTATTACAGTTTAAAATAATTGTTTTGTATTTTAATATATTTTAAAATGTAATTTATTCCAGTTGAATTTTCAGCAGCCATTACTCCATTCTTTAGTGTCACATGATCCTTCAGAATTTGCTGATTTGGTGCTGAAGAAACATTTCTTGTTATCAATGTTGAAAACAGCTTAATATTTTTGTTGAAACGGTGATCTTTTTTTTTCATTAATAAACAAAGTTCGAAAATATTTATTAGAACTAGAAATCTTTGTAACATTATAGATGTCCTTACTGTCACTTTAGGACCATAATTTTAGTTTGCACTGTCAAATATTAATTTCCATGTTATTTCATGAAAGGTCTTGCGATGTGTCATACTTCACAAAAAAGTTGAATAATTTCCCCCTGATTAATTAGGTATGTATTTTGTGACAGGTTATGAAATCCATGGTTTAGAAAAGATTCCAGATGAAGGACCTGCTCTTATAGTCTACTATCATGGAGCTATTCCTGTAGACTACTATTATTTCTTGGCAAGTGTTATCATTCAAAAGGGAAGAACTTGTCATTCGGTGGCTGATCATTTTCTGTTCAAGGTCCCAGGTAAAAACAAATTTCATAGCCTCATTTTGCCCATGACAGAGTCATTACTCCGTACCTAATTTCATTGTGATTAACTGAATTTTGGGACAAAACGTGTCCTACAACTTTATCTGCCATTAGTTTTTAAAATAGCAACAATTTCACTTTATTCAAATGATTTATTGCATTATGTTGCATAACACAAATGATTTAATTATAACCTTAAACATAAATATGTATCTTTTCAAGAAGCACTGACTAACTTCTGTCAAGGCATTGTAGTAAAGTTATTCTACATTCTGAAATTCCTTTCCATATTTTACCTTCAGTAAATTCAACAAGGTCACACACACACACTCTGATTTATATTTATATATTTTTAAATTTACTTTAATTAAAGGGTTAGTTCACCCAAAAATGAAAATTAGGCTGCGTTTTACTCACCCCCAAGGCATCCTAGGTGTCTGTGACTTTCTTCTTTCAGACGAATCCAGTCGGAGTTATATTAAAAATGGTCTTTGATCTTTCAAGCCGTTTCATGGCACTCAGGGGGTGTTGCATTGCTTCAGTCCAAAAGAAGTTAAATAAAAAGCACCCATCCATTAAAAAAAGTGTCTCACACGGCTCCGGGGGGTGAACAAAGGTAGCGAATTGATGCGTTTTTGTAAGAAAAATATCCATATTCAAAACATAATAACATAACGTTGTTTTGTTTTTATCTCTCCGCTGCGTTTCCGCGTGCGTCACTTCTGAGCGGCGCATGCGCAAAGCCGACCTCATACGTCATCTGCCCGGAACTGCTTCCGTTTACAACAGTGAGCGCAAGCTAGATTCAAGTGATTATTACGTTTTGAATATGGATATTTTTCTTACAAAAACGCATCGATTCGCTACAGAAGGCCTTTGTTCACCCCCCGGAGCCGTGTGAGACA